CATCAAGGGTAGAAATCCTTTAGCTTTTCCCATAATTTTACTGTCATATTTGATAAGTATGCCTTTTTTGATCATTTGATACATATCTAACCAACATTTGATGTTGGTTAGATATGTAATACTGACTTGTTCTGTTTTTCATTTTAGGTTTGCTCTCCCACTTTCATCTTACAATCCACTTTTTGCCATCAAAGTAAGCTTTGCTTGTTCCAATTTCAATTGTAGCAACACGAGGTGTTGATGATAATGTAATCAGGGAATTACAGAATTTCAATTTTCCAGTGCCGATTTTTAGTTCATCGCATGACTTTATTAGATCCATACCCATAATCATGTCGTACTTGTTTATTACTGTATCCACACATAACACCAATGCATCCATCAAGCACCTGTTCGTTGGGTGGTGTATTTTAGCAACAACTTCTTTGCATTGAATTATTTCACCCATTGTTGCAATATTCACTACACAAATAACTTTATAGTCAGATGGTAGTAACTTCTTGGTGATGATTGATTGTGAGCAACCAGTATCCACAAGCGCTATAGCTTTTCTTCCGTTTATTACCAAGTCAATAGTAGGTAGTATTGTTTCAGGGCAAGTTCTTGTAGAAATACCTAATGCAAATTCGTCCCATTTAAGTTTTTTGTTTTTGAACAATTGCTTGTGGTTGCCCATCTAATTTTCAATATATCCATTGTTGAACCTATATATGTTTTGTCGGGTGTGTTTGGGAATGATACAATGCCTTTATAAATTATATTTGTTTTTTCAGAAATCTCCATTCAAAGGACAGGTTAAATTTAGTTTACAATTATTGCACGCTAAAATGACAATTGGGTTCATTGAAATAATTTTATTGTTGTGATTCTTTATTTATTTTGTTATGTTGCTTGTGCAGCCGTAGCTGACTTTTATTGTGTTACGGTTAAACAGTTTATGAAGCAGATTTCTTGTTTTTTTGTTTGGGGACTGCTTTGGTATTGTTTTTAGGGTTGTATTTAAAATTAAAATTTTTGAAACCATTTCTTTTTAGGGCTTCGTTGTATTCTGCCATATAAATATTTTTTTTCATAAGAACTTTAGATAAACTATTATTGATAGCAATTGGAATTTGTTTAATAATTTTTGAGGGGTGGTTTGAGGGTAAGTTGCTATTTGGTTTTTTGAAAGGATGATATAAGTCTTTGTACAGAATTATTTTTCAACGAGAAAAAATCAGATTTTTTACTTGATGATTGCATTTAGCATGAAACTTATAGTTGTAAAAAATATGTAGTTTTATTTATAAAAAATATATAAATATATGTGTGCGTGTGTATTATTTGTAATCTTTTTGATAAAAATCATAAATAAATCTGTTTATATATATATATATATATATATATATATATATATATATATATATATATATATATATATATATACATATATATATATATATATATATATATATATATATATATATATATATATATATATATATATATATATATATATATATATATATATATATATATTATATTGTGAACACACAATATAAATGGTATTTGTCAAACAGACTGACTATAACACATTTTATGGGTTGCTTACTGCAACTAACTTTGTTGACTAACTTTTTTTTACTATATATATATATATATATATATATATATATATATATATATATATATATATATATATATATATATATATATATATATATATATATATATATATATATATATATATATATATATATATATATATATATATATATATATATATATATATATATATATATATATATATATATATATATATATATATATTATATTGTGAACACACAATATAAATGGTATTTGTCAAACAGACTGACTATAACACATATTATGGGTTGCTTACTGCAAGCATGTATAACTTGTTATACATGCAAAACATGTATACAAAGCATGTATAACTTGTTATACATGTTTCTTGATTACATCCAGCAAAAAAATGTTTTTCTGGATGTAATCAAGAAACATTCATTATTCCTTTCCATGTTTCATTACATAAAATTTTATATTTTTTTGTAAAGTTGAATTTAAGTATATGCTTTTCTTTATTTTTTAGTTTTGTTGTTTTAAATAAAAATTTTAAACTGAAAAAAATTGCTATATTGGCTTTTTCATGACTTGATTTTTTTGGTGAAAAAATTTTTAAAAAAATGCAATCCTATTTAACTTTCTAATTGCTTTAATTTAATTGCTAATGACCATGTATAAGAAATATTTTACGAGCTTTCTTTTTTATTTGAAATAATTGTTCAAATTGTTTAACTATAATTGTCCCTCAATTGTTCAAATACTGTAATTAATAAAATCCCTTCAGTTTAAGTATTTTAGTTCATAAAATATGTTTTATTAACTAAAGTTATTTTAGCAGTGTTATTAGGTTGTTTTTTTTTTTTAACTATTCTGGAGACACAGAGCAATGTCTGTTAATGTTTAACAAAATGTAATGTATGCTTACAAATATCTTATGCCATGAGATATTGTTGTTGTGCTTTATGTTGATAGGTTGTTTTTGCTTTTTTTTTTTAATTTATTCTTCCTTTTCTATTATATTTTATTTTAAAATAAACTCAAAGGATAACTTTTTTAAATGATTTAGTTTATCATTTTAGTATGATTAATGTTGAGACTATGATATTGAGTTTCAATTGATTTTTGTTACACTTGAACAAGTTTTTTTTTTTTTTTTACAGATTTTTAGTTATTATTTTTTTTAGTTGTTTTGTCTTTTTTCAAACAGTTTATAATATTTTGTAGAGCCTCCTTAATTTTTAAGTTTCAGAAAGTTTTCCAGCTACTTCAAAAATTTTAACTTTTATTTTATCAAACGTTGAAACTGTTCGATATGTTTTTAAATTTTATACTTAAGAAAAATTTTGGTGGATGTTTTAACCTGAAATTACATCTTTCATAAGGTTTCAAATTTTTTTCAACAGCTAGTTCAAAAGCATGGCTACTTATTCTTAAACTATACTTAGATCTTCAATACATTGGTGTGGTTTGTGGCGCCACAAAATTGATTGAATCAGTTCCATTAATTATTTTGTGATGCTGTATAAGGTCCATACAGGTACGACAGTTTTCAAGAGTAGTTAAATTAAGCTGTCTTAAATATTCCTGGTATTTTAGGTGACTAATTGACTTAATCCATTTTGTGGTTCGATGTTGAATTTTTTTAATTGTCTTTAAATCTCCTATGAAATAAGGACTACATGCTCAGCTTGTAACTTCACTTTAAGAATAGATACTATAACCCCCAAATCGCATTCTTTTGATGTGGTTTCAAGTTGTTTGCGATGACCATTTTGTGATTCTATTGTATATATATATAGTTTGGCTCCCTTTTTTTTTTTGCATGTTATGTGCATAACTTTGCATTTTTCAATGTTATATGGCATAAGCCATTTTTTAGACCACTTAATAGCTGTGTCAAGATCTCTTTGAAGACATAGTGCATCTTTTTCAGACTTGATGATACCTATGATCATGCTGTCATAAGCATGCATACATTTTTATATAACTCAAAATTAAGTCCAGCAAATCATTAATGAAGAGCACAAAAAAAAACCAAACCTTGAGGTACTCCTGTTACTTTTAAAGAATTAAGTTTCAGCAATCTGTTTTTGACTATTTTATAAGTAATAAAATTAACTCCTTTATCACAAGTGAGTAAAGATTGGTTTAAAAAATTAGGTAGTAGTCCTTGCGGCTCTACTTCAAATACAGTAAAATTAATAGTATTAAAAATATAGATAATTTTGGTAATAGAAAAAATATAGATAATTTTGTGTTTGAGGTAAGGAGTCATGATGAGGTAACGATGATTATGATGATCATGTTGATCATAATGATGTTTATATATGCATATATATACAAAATATAACATGAATTTTGAATTAAATTTATAAATGTACAAATAAAGGAGTGTTATTGCAGGCACAGATGTCAGTCAAAAATAGTTTTTATATATTTTTTCAAATAAGATTTTTAAATAAATAATACTTATCACATAAAGGGAAATAAAATCACAAATATGTGCTTTTAAAATAAAAACTTATATTAACACAATTACACAAACAAAAGGAGAAAATAAAATACTTTAATACACCGCTACAGCATTTTAATAACTTTCTTGTGATGATTTAATAACTTTCTTGTGATGATGTGATGAAAACTTTTAAAACTATGTTTTGAGCTAACAATGTTCAATATTTTATAACTTTTTATTGTAAAATAGTAAACTTCTAATAAAAAAAAGTGGAAGCGGCTTATTAACTTTTTTCTTTATTAAGTTTCTAATGAGTTTTTTTCTGACAATCCAGAGCATATTAGAACCCACCCCTGTTTATTATTTTCAAGAAAAATAAAAGTTTGAAATGTAAAATCTTTTTTCCTTTAAGAAATACAATTGTCTCTTTAATGTGTGTTAAACAGGCCGACTTAATTACATAAACACATAAATTATATACCAATTGGTCTACAAAGGGATGCTATACCTATGTTTTTTAACCCTTTTTATATGGCATAACTTATTTTAGAATTTTTATAATTTTTTAAATAAATGCTCAAAGTCAAAAACAAGGGGCTTAAATGTAAATTGCTGCAATGCAATTTCCAAGTAAAAAGTAAAACTTAAAATAAACTTTAAAATATACATAATTTTAAACTAACATGTTATATAGAGTTACATTTTTTTCATATTTTAAAATAGATAAACGACTTTTTTTTAACTCAACATTAATGGTTGTCGTTAGTTTCTTTTCACAACCATTATTAATACTGGTTGAGTATTAATTCATAAGATTATTCAATAGAAATACTAGAACAACATACATCTGTAATGTTGATTTAAATATTTGAACAATTATTACAGCAATAAAAATAATATAAATATTAAAAGTTACAATAATAATATTATTAATAAAAATAATAATAATAATAATATGAATAGATAAATAAATAACTACCTTTAGAGGCTTTAACAGGTTTGAAGCCAAGTCGGCTTGTATAGACAAGAATTTATTCAAACAGCTTTTGTCTAGCCAAAACTTTTTTTCATAGACATAATTGGTTATTTCAAAATAACATCCATCCAAGATTGAAAGAAGACTTGATAATTTATTTAATGTTAGGCTTGTGGACCCAGATGGCATGCTCTTTTTCCTGAATCTCATTAGTATCTGAATCCATATTAGTATCTTCTTTCATTGTTCTTAATATATAATCAACTAAGCCTAATCAACTAATTAATAATATCTGTTCAACTAAAACCAAAACTTGTTGCATTTCACACAGTCTGCCACACTACCTCGCTCACATTTATATTTGCTTATGTTAAAAGCATTTTTTATTTTGAAAGATATTAAAAAAACATCCAAAATTGAATTTAGAACATGAATACAAAATACTTAACTGAATATATATTTATAAAACAAAAACTTTAAAAGTATTTAAAATACATATTAAAATACTGAATATATGAATTAAATACTATTAAAATACTTAAAACGCTGTATATATATATATATATATATATATATATATATATATATATATATATATATATATATATATATATCAGGCTTGGTCAGGAAGCGGGAGCGGTCACTCTCGGTTTGCTGACCATGGCAATAATATTTAGTTGCAAAAAGCTGGCCAGATTTTTTAGTCGTTTTGAGAACATTTCAAAAAGCTAAAAAATATTGCGCTTTAATTGGACTGATGAGAGACAATTACAAAAAAATAAAATTAAAAAAATTAGGAAAAAAATATCTTTTAAAGCAAAAAAACTTAAAGCACGTTTAGAACATATATTTTCGAAACATCGCTCTTTCATAATTTCTTTAATAAAATTAACCAACGTTTTTTATATAAAGTAACATTACGATTGTTTAAAAAGAAATCAAATGTTCTTTATTTAAAAAAATTTGAAAGTTTTAGTTTTATTTAAGCTAAATCATTTTATTAATGAAAAAATTAATTTTGTTATTACCTATTTTATGTTTTGCGTAGTTTGAAAAGTTTAACATATTTGAAGCAATTCTTCTTAGTAAGATTAACAAATGAAATAATTAAATCATTGAATTACTAAAAAAGTTAAATTACCTTGATAAAAATCAACTAAAAAGGTTAAAAATACTATTTGATGAGGAAGCGAAACTGCTTCACAATATCGCTGATGATGTTTAGTGAGTGGGCTTTTTAATTTTAATTAGCATTTAAATGGACTACCAAGTCCCGAGACATGTTGTGTTCATATTAAAGAGAATGTTAAAAAAAAAAACATCTGAGCAAATTTTTTATGATTAAATTTAATTAATGAATGTATACCAAGAAAAACAAATCTTGTTGTTTTAGTCGAAGCTCGTCATCTCTGTTTTCTCTGGTTTTTTGAGAATGTAAAATAAACGCGATTTTCCAGGCGCATTATACAGACTTGATCATTTATTCAAGCGCGTTTAATTCATAGGAGTTTTAAAGCATGGCGTCATTGGAAACATTCTAGAAATTCTTTAAAAATTTTACTATTAAATTTTACTCAAATAGCTAACTATAGCTACTTATTTTATTAAAAGTTTATTTTATTAATTATTCGTTAGTTTTTTACAAATCTAACGAACAATTAATTAAACCAAGCACTAAGAAAAGATATAAAAATTAAGAGTATACTAATAAAATATTCAATTTGTAATTAACTTTCAAAATTTTGACAATTTAAAAAATATATATTATAAAACATTTATTTTTGTAAACAAATGATAATAGTTTAAAAGTTTTACGGCTTTACAGATATGGCTCCGAGAATGAGCCATAATATTAAAGTAATAGTTCATTTGATAATATATTCTTAAAAAAATTTATGCTAGATATCTCAAAACGCAACAAATCGTAAATAAATGTTAATTATGTTTCCATGTATGTCTGTAAAATAAAAATTAATATATATTAATTTTTTAATTTTTAAGCCCCCGCCATAATATATATTGGATGTTATAATGGAAATATAAATAATGAAATAAGATCACCTCAATACCAAAAAATACATTTTTGAAAGTCAGAGAAAAAATGCGTTAATAACTTTTTTTTAATATTTAAAAAGTAAATTAATAAAAATGCATCATTATTTAGGTTAAAAATTATTTTATCTAATATTTTGAAAGAAAAACTTATAACAAAAGAAATTAAAATACACATGGTCTAGATGATTATTTAAAAAAAGTTGCGCAAATAAAATACTATTTTGTTTTTAATTTTATTTTTGTTTTTAATTTTATTTTGTTTTTAATTTTATTTTGTTTTTAATTTTATTTTGTTTTTAATTTTATTTTGTTTTTAATTTTATTTTGTTTTTAATTTTATTTTGTTTTTAATTTTATTTTGGTTTTAATTTTATTTTGTTTTTAATTTTATTTTGTTTTTAATTTTGTTTTACAAACACATTTTAGAACTTTAAAATATAATAAAAATGAATATGCTTTGGAAATTGTATGTAAAAAATAACAATCAGTGTTTTAAACAAACAAAAAAAAATCTATGACGTCATGGACTAAAACTCCTATGAATTAAACGCGCTTGAATAAAAGATCAAGTCTGTATAATGCGCCTGGAAAATCGCGTTTATTTTACATACTCAAAATACCAGAGAAAACGGAGAAGAGAAGCTTCGACTAAAACAACAAGATTTGTTTTTCTTGGTATACATTTATTAATGAGTTTTAATCAAAAAAAATTTGCTCAGACATTTTTTTTTTAACATTCTCTTTAATATGAACACAACATGTCTCGGGACTTGGTAGTCCCTTTAAAACAAAAAAAAGTATAACGAGTTTTTAAGAATGGCAACTGAAGCGAAAATAATTAGAGTTAGTAAACCAATATCTAGAAACTTTACTTTATATCTAAAAAATTGCTATATATATATTTGTGTTCTGTCGTAACCTTAGGCGCGGTGTTTGTTTATCCGCGAGTTACTTTGTATGCGTTATTTGTGTTTAGTAACGAGAAACTTCTTATATATTTGTTATTTAATTAGTTTTATTAACTTTAACGATGGTTATTAACTTCATTGAAAACGCAAATATTTTTCTAAGTCTTTGTTTACAAATTAAATCATAAAAATTGCTTTAAAAGATACATTACGATAAAAAACAGACACACAAAATTACATTTACATAAAGAATACATACTTTTTAAATAAAAAATAAGAATATACTAATAAATTCTATAATTTATAATAAACTTTCAAAATTTTGACAATTTAATTAATATATATTTAAAACATTTATTTTTGTAAACAAATAATAATAGTTTATAAGATTTACGGCTTTGTAGATGTGACTCCAAGAATGAGCCATAGTATTGATAATATATTCTTAAAACAATTTATGTTAGAAATCTCAAAACAAATCGTGAATAATACTAATTCTAAAACATTTCAATAGAATACTCTAAAACCTTATTTCGCTTAGTCAGCATATTTTTTGAACCAATAGAATTAGTTTGTTCGTTGATTTGGCGGGTTTTTAGTGTTTGCGAATATTCTTTATATTCTTCCGCACCAAGATGTTTTGAGAACATTTAAGTTTTTTATGTTTCCATGTATGTCCATAAAACAAAAATGTTCTGTTACAAAAACTTAAATGTTCTCAAAACGGCTAAAAAACCTGGCCAGTTTTTCGCAACTAAATATAATTTCTGTGGTCAGTATTCGAGAGCAATCGCTCCCACTTCCCGACCAAGCCTGATATATATATATATACATATATATATATATATACATATATATATATATATATATATATATATATATATATATATATATATATATATATATATATATATATATATATATATATATATATATAAACATATATATACATATATATATATATATATATATATATATATATATATATATATATATATATATATATATATATATATATATATATATATATATATAACATATATATACATATATATATATATATATATATATATATATATATATATATATATTATATATATATATATATATATATATATATATATATATATATATATATATATATATATATATATATATATATATATATATATATATATATATATATATATATATATATATATATATATATGTATAGTAAAGGCTTTAAATTTACCATTTATGGTAAAAAACAACTCTTAACAACTCATTGTCTCTAAAAATAACAGAATTAAGTAAACTTTATGCAAAAACTATAAATTTTTTTGAAGAAACTAATTAAATTTATCATTTTTATAAAAAACCACACAAGCGCAAATTAACAGACTGGAATTTTTAAAAAACATTCAGAATGTTTTCATTTTTATTTTTTTACAGTTTACATACATCGACTGACAAATAAGTAAACATGCAAAGAGTATTGCTACATTGACTAACAAATAGGTAAAAAATGTGAGGAATGCAACTAAATTGACTAACAAATAAGTAAACATGCAAGGAGTGCTGCTACATCATCTAAGGGTTTCGCTTTAGTCAATTGATCTATCAATTAAAAAAAAGAACTTCCTAAAGTTTTTAAACTTTTTTCGGTTTTTTAAATTAATTTTTTTTAAAAAAATACAGAAAGTTTTATGGTAAAAAATAAAGACAAACATGCAAGAGTATATATTTGTATATAGTCTTGCATGGTAGCCATAAGGTTTCTTTCATAACTTGTAGTTTTAAAGAGAACACTAATAAACCAGACTAGAAAAAGTTTAAACATGAATAAAGGTTTTTACTATTTAATGATTGCTTCCCCAAACCAAATCCTCAGTCGATGTAATAGCATTTCCTAGCAGCAGCAGGCTATAAAATAATCCATGTAGCAG